CCAGAAAGACAATCAAGGAAGCTGTTCTTGCCAAAGGTTCAACTGTGTTTTCGAAACAAAGATCGCAAGTGATGGAAGATGTTGAGAGACTCTTATTGGTGTGGATAAATGAAAAACAGATAGCAGGAGATAGCGTCTCTCAAGCGATCATATGTGAAAAGGCTAGGAAGTTGCATGAGGATTTAATTAAAAAAATGCCTGCAACTAGTGATGATGTGAGTGAATTTAAGGCCAGCAAAGGTTGGTTTGAGAGATTTAAGAAGCGTAGTGGCATCCATAGTGTGATAAGGCATGGTGAGGCTGCCAGTTCGGACCACAAAGCGGCTGAAAAATATGTGCAGGAATTCAAGGAGTACATAGAAACTGAAGGACTGAAACCTGAACAAGTGTTTAATTGTGATGAAACAGGCCTGTTCTGGAAGAAAAATGCCAAGCAGGACCTACATTACTCAGAGGAAAAGGCACTCCCAGGACATAAGCCTATGAAAGACAGGCTTACTTTGTTGATGTGTGCCAATGCTACTGGTGATTGCAAAGTGAAGCCTTTATTAGTGTATCACTCTGAAACTCCAGAGCGTTCAGGCAAAAAGAATGTCCTCAAGGATAATTTGTGTGTGCTGTGGAGGGCAAACAGTAAAGGCATGGGTCACTAGGGAATTTTTCTATAACTGGTTTACACCATGCATTTGCCCCAATGTGAAAGATTACCTAACTGAAAAGAAATTAGAACTTAAGTGCCTCCTGGTGTTAGACAATGCCCCTGGTCATCCTACAGACGTGGCAGAGCGACTTTATGGGGACATGAGCTTCATTAAGGTGAAGTTTTTGCCTCCTAATACCACTCCTCTCCTGCAGCCCATGGACCAGCAGGTTATTTCCAACTTCAAGAAACTGTACACAAAAGCTCTGTTTGAAAGGTGCTTTGTAATGACCTCAGAAACTCAACTGACTCTAAGAGAGTTTTGGAGAGATCACTTTAATATCCTCAATTGTGTAAACCTTATAGGTAAGGCTTGGGAGGAAGTGACTAAGAGGACCTTGAACTCTGCTTGGAAGAAACTGTGGCCAGAATGTGTAGACAAAAGGGATTTTGAAGGGTTTGAGGCTAACCCTGAGATGATTATGCCAGTTGAGGAATCCATTGTGGCATTGGGAAAGTCCTTGGGGTTGGAGGTTAGTGGGGAGGATGTGGAAGAGTTGGTGGAGGAGGACAATGAAGAACTAACCACTGATGAGCTGATAGATCAACTTCAAGAGCAAGAGGCCAGACCTGGGGAAACTGGTTCAGAGGAGGGGACAGAGAAATTGAAGAAGTTGCCTACTACAAAGATAAAGGAAATCTGTGCTAAGTGGCTTGAAGTGCAAACCTTCATGGATGAAAATCACCCTCACACAGCTATTGCAAGCCGTGCTGGTGATTATTACACTGACAATGTTGTGAAACACTTTAGGCAAGTCATAAAGGAACGAGAGGTACAGGCCACTATGGACAGATATGTTGTGCGAAAGAAGTCCAGTGACTCTGAAGCTGGCCCTAGTGGCATTAAAAAAAGAAGGGAAGTAACCCAGAAAAGGACTTACTACCTCAAGTCCTAATGGAAGGGGATTCCCCTTCTAAACACTAACACTCTCTCTCCCCTCCTCCCATCCCATCAATCATCACCAGATCTTCAATAAAAGTAAGTGTCATTTAATTGTGCATGCCTTTTTCAGTTTGTGTGTATTAAAATTAACATTTCATGTGGTAAAAAAAAATTTTTTTCATACTTTTGGGCGTCTTGCACGGATTAATTTTATTTCCATTATTTCTTATGGGGAAAATTCATTCGCATAACGATTATTTCGCATAACGATGAGCCCTCTTGCACGGATTAAAATCGTTAACCGGGGGTCCACTGTATATATATATATATATATATATATATATATATATATATATATATATATATATATATATATATATATATATATATAATATATATATATATATATATATATGCATGTGCATGTCTGTGAAGTGTGACCAAAGTGTAAGTAGGAGTAGTAAGATATCCCTGTTTTCTAGCGTGTTTATGAGACAGAAAAAGACACAGCAATCCTACCATCATGTAAAACAGTTACAGGTTTATTTTTCACAGTCATCTGGCAGGAAGTAGTACACTAGGGCCCCGCTTTACGGCGTTTTTGCCTTACGGCATTCCACTAATATGGCGATGTCAAATTCTGACCAAAATTTGCTATACGGCAAGCGGTCTTTCAAATATAGCGCCACCTACCCGGTTTGTTTACATTCTCCGTGACCACATCTATTATGTCAGGAAATTTTCCAAAATTTCAAGTGTTTTAAAGTTACTGCGTATTTTATATGTACACTGATAATTATACTTATGTGTACCTGTACCTAAATATACTTACACACTGTGCTGGTGTGTAGGTACACATTAAAATCGCTAATTCTCTCTCTACTCATGACGCCAATACATGTACTACGTAATAATAATCACTCTTGGGCACACTAAATGTCTTATTTTACATTATTATAGGCATTTTCATTAATCCATCTATGATATTTTCCTCAGAATTATATATGAAACCTGTTACATAGCATATAAACATGATACATGCACTCACAGAATAAAAATTAACATAAATATGAGATTTGTTTACAAAGCAGCTGTGTAGGTAGTGTCAGAAGAATTATGTTTTCTCTAGTCAAACTGGAGGATAACTGTAGAAAAATATTCTTTTTGTATGCCTTTACTCTATATATAGCAATTAATGACCCTTGTGGGTTTAGTGCTTTTTATTATAATAATAATAATATTATTATTATTATTATTATTATTTTTTTTTTTTTTTTTTTTTCAACAAGTCGGTCGTCTCCCACGAGCAGGGTGACCCAAAAAAAGAAAGAAAATCCCCAAAAAGAAATACTTTCATCATCATTCAACACTTTCACCACACTCACACATTATCACTGCTTTTGCAGAGGTGCTCAGAATACAGTATAACAGTTTAGAAGCATATACGTATAGAGATACACAACATATCCCTCCAAACTGCCAATATCCCAAACCCCTCCTTTAAAGTGCAGGCATTGTACTTCCCATTTCCAGGACTCAAGTCCGACTATATGAAAATAACCGGTTTCCCTGAATCCCTTCACTAAATATTACCCTGCTCACACTCCAACAGATCGTCAGGTCCCAAGTATCATTCGTCCCATTCACTCCTATCTAACACGCTCATGCACGCTTGCTGGAAGTCCAAGCCCCTCACCCACAAAACCTCCTTTACCCCCTCTTTCCAACCCTTTTGAGGACGACCCCTACCCCTCTTTCCTTCCCCTATAGATTTATTATTATTATATTATTATTATCTTCATTCATTCTAAAAATGGTGTGTTGCTGTTTGTTTATTCTGTACTAACTTGTACACAATATAAGAGTATTTGTATTGTGAGGTAATTATTATTATAATAAAAAAAATATTGAGGTAAATGTTTTACAAACTCTTACAAACGTACGCGAATGAACTAAAAGTAGACACATATTAATACGCATTTATTTCGCCTGACCAAGTGATCGCCCACTACCTGTTCAGTTTGTGTTCTTACATTGTCTCAACTCTGTATCTCATTCTCTCTTCTCGTTTACTCTTTCGTTAACTAGTTGGCTCTCATTGACGATGGCGTCTAAGGTTAGCTGTGATAAAAAGAGAAGTCGTAAGCCTCTTGCTTTAGGTGCCAAGTTAGAGGATGATGGTGTGCCATTCTGGTTTTATTTAATAAACACCCTGCCATTCACTTCTCACACATTAATATTTAATATTTTAAGGTACGTAATAAGTGTACTCTGTGTGTATCTTACCTTTTATTGTATTTTTAATGCCTATTTCTATTGCTAACTTTGATGTTGGTGAGGGACTCTTGATTTAGGGAATTGGATCTGTTCTCCAGTTCCCCGAATTAAGCCTGAATGCCTTCTACATCCCCCCAGGTGCTGTATAATCCTATGGGTTTAGTGCTTCCCCCTTGATTATAATAATAATAATATTGCTAACTTAATATAAGTTAGTGTAAACTTGTTGTCTGGCATTTATTGCGTATTTTATATGTGCTCTGATAATAATACTTGTAGAGCTGTGTGGTAGCCGGGTGGAGGGACAACATTGCGTTTTCTCTGCTCAGCCATCAGAGAAAACGTGTATGAATCTGCGTTTGGCCCAGCCACTCCCCCACTTCGCTTTTGTTTACAATTTTCGGTATGAATTATTCATTACTTCTCCCTTCGTTTATGATGGTATCTAAAGGTAGTTGTTAGAAATGATTAAATTCAGTGAACAAGGTATGTTGATGTTAATAATATGGCTCTGGGCCACAGTGTAGGTAGCCGGTAGGTGTAGCCCAGGCGGGCTACACCTACCAGCTACATGCACTGACTTCCTACAAATAAATACTACTTGCCTCTCTTCCTATATTAAGACTACACATATTTTAAGGTAAATAAGGAGTGTACTGTATGTGTATTTTACCTCTCTGGGATGTTTTAAATATCGTATATTAAGTATGAGATGGGGAGCCAGGGCTACCTACACCTGGGCTACCTGCAGCTGACTTCCTACATATAAGTACTACTCATCTCTCTCCCTACATGAAGATTACAAATACTTTAAGATAAGTAATAAATGTACTGTGAATGTATTTTACTTTGTGTGTTTTTAATGCCTAGTTCTATTACTAACTTAATATAATTTAGTGTAAACTTGTTGTCTGGCATTTATATGCATTTATACATGGAAAAAATGGCGTTCTGCCTTCCGACGATGTCTGCTTTCCGGCGACAGCCTGGAACCTAACCCGCCGAATAAGTGGGGCCCTACTGTACTTCCCTGGGTGGTTGCTGTCTACCAACCTACTACCTATATATTGTCTAATTAAGTACTATGTATAATTTGTAAGTCTTTTTCTTTACATTTTTGACTTTGTCGAGCCGAGTAAGTTTCAGGAGTGATAACACAAGGGCGAGATGGTGCTGATAAATGGGTTGAATCTTTCACTGTCCGCTACTCCCCAGATGGTGAGACTTGGAATACTATAAAGGACTTAGATGGCAATGATAAGGTAGCCCCCTCACTCATTATCTTGTCTATTAAATAATTTTACATGGAACCTCATTCCTTTTAACTTTTTTATTGGTTTTCCACATATGATTTTACATCCATTACACAAATATGGTATTTTGTAAGTACCAAAATGTAAAATACGTATAGATTGATTGCATTAGATGCAGTAATATTATTTCAGGTTTTTCCCGGCAACTATGATGGAAGTACTCCAGTGAAGACAGAGTTTGACAGACTCATAAAAAGCACGTTTTCTGGAGATCAGACCTAAGACAGGGAACAACAATATTGCCATGAGAGCTGAAGTTTCTTGGTTGTTTCCACCCATACCGTTAGTAATGTGTCTTCTTTGGCATGTAACTTATGTACTAGTTATTGATTAAAAATGTTATGTTTTTAATGCCCAACAAATCTGTTTCTTAGCCTTTAACTCTTTCACTGTCTCATACATACTCAGGGCCTCCTATGAGTGAATACCCTGTAGTTTATGTTATTGGGTGCAGGATTGCTTATATAGATCTAAATTTTGAACTCAGCTCCCTCAGATAAGCTGTGATCAGTAAATTTTACCCTAGATATGAGAGAATGAGTCTGTGCAGTGAGTATGCAAGCACAGTATAACAAACATCTTGCCCCCATGCAGTGCATGTTGGGTGTGTTTGGTTTAAAGTAGCATCTTCCAAGTGTTTTCTAGGATGATTTTTATGGTTTTATTGACTGTTTCTTGAATATCAGTTGACAGAATAGAAGGGACTACCAAAATAGAAATGATTTTTATTGTTTCAGTAATGGAAGTAGCTTGAAATTAGGCTCAAAGTAGTAGAAATACAGTGGACCCTCGCCTAACCTATTAATAGTTCATGAGAGCTCAACGTTAGGCGAAATTATCGTTAACCGAATTAATTTTCCCCCTAAGAAATAATGGAAATCAAATTAATCCGTTCCTGACACCGAAAGTATGAACAAAAAAACATTTTTACCACATGAAATATTTAAATTTTTTAAAACACACAAACTGAAGAAGACATGCACAGTTACATGACACTTACCTTTTTTGAAGATCTGGTGATGATTTATGGGATGGAAGGAGGGGAGACTGTGGATGGTGTTAGTGTTTAGAAGGGGAATCCCCTTCCATTAGGACTTTAGGTGGCAAGTCCTTTTCTCCTTTCGGGGTTTCTTCCCCTTTTTCTTTTAATGCCACCAGGACCAGCTTGGAGTCACTGGGCCTCTATCGCACAACATATCTGCCCATAGAGGCCTGTACCTCCCTTCCTTTATGGCATTCCTAAAGTGTTTCACACATTGTCAGTGTTTAAAAGTCACCAGCACGGCTTGCAATAGCTGTGTGAGGGTGATTTTTATCAAAAAAGGTTTGCACTTTAAGCCACATTGCACTCATTTCCCTTTAAACTTTGAAGTAGGCAACTTCTTCAATTTCTCATCCCCTCCTCCGAACAGTTTCCTCAGTTCTGGCCTCTTGCTGTTGAAGATGATCTAGCAGCTCATCAGTGGTTTTGTTCTTCATTGTCCTCCTCCACCAACTCCCTTTCCCCATCCTCCCCACTAACCTCCAACCCCAAGGACTTCCCCAATGCCACAATGGATTCCTCAAAATGGCATAGGATTCCTAGGGTTAGCCTCAAACCCTTCAAAATCCCTTTTGTCTACAAGTCTGGCCACAGTTTCTTCCAAAAAAGTTAAGTCCTTTATCACTTTCCCCCCAAAATCTCTCTCTCTCTCCTCTACTTTCCCTCTCTTCCCCGGGTGCATACCGCTTATTATGCCCCATTTTTTCGCTTTCCAACCTTTATTTAAACCCCACTTTAACCCTTTGAATTTTTACACATTCATATTCTCTTTTCCCCCAAAAATAATGATTTTCAACATTTTGCTCCCCTTCCTTGCTCAAAACCCCTTAAATTTTAACCCCAAAATTTAATCCCATTTTTTTCCCCCAAATTAAAAATCCCCTCCCCCTTCACTTTTTTTTCCGTTTAGGGTCAGGCACCCAAACTTTTTTTCATCAAACCCATCAGCAATCATCTGCTTTTTGTCATCCACACTACACCCCAAAAAATTTCAAGCACCCCGTTTTAAAAAGTTTTTTTTTCCCTTCTTTTTTTTAGTAAAGGGTTTTAAAGGAGGGGGGTTTTACACCCATTGCCCCCCGCATTTTTAGTTGCCATACGCCGCATGGCTTACAGGGAAAGTTTTTTTTCCACTTCCCCAGGGAAACAATAGAAAAAGTAAAAAAGAAAAAGAGCTTTTTAAAAAAAAAGGGGAAAAAAACCTAAATATATATTTTATATATATTTTATATAAATATTTTTATATATATAAAATATATTTAAAAATATATGTTTTTATATAATATATTTTTATAAATTTATTATAAAGTGGACCCCCCCCCTTTAACGGGGGCACCCCCATAGCGTTTTTTCCGCATACCGATTTTTTATCGAAAAAATTTTTGCCGCGCTTCCCAAATTTAAAAAACCCGCTTACCGTTTTTTCGCCCGGGGACGCATCCAATGTGCCCCAGCCAGCCCCATGTGCCACCGCCCCATTGTTACCGGGCCAGCCCCCGCGGTAAAAACCAAGCTTTACACTGGGTTTTTTCGTATTATTACAATTTTCGGTGCTTTTTCGGGAAAAAATAAGGGGACCAGGCCCCCAAAAAGTTTCTAAGGGGCCAACCCTACCCCAAAAGGGTAAAAATTTACTATAGAAATGAAAAAAGGAGATAATTGTTAAGTATGAAAGTGGGGGGGCATATAGCTAAACCTAGTAAAGCGGTACAAAAAACCCCCCAATCAACCATCGCTACTATTGGGGCACCAAAAGACAATCAAGGAAGCTGTTCTTCCCAAAAGGTTCAACTGTTTTTTCGAAACAAAAAATCGCAAGTGATGGAAGATTTGGGAAGACCTTTTTGGGGTGTGGATAAATGAAAAACGATGCGGGAAATAGCGTCCTCAAGCACCCTTTATTTGAAAAGGCTAAAAAGTTGCATGAGGATTTAATTAAAAAAATTTCCTTTCCCAACCCTAGTGATGATGGAGTAAATTTTAAGGCCACAAAGGTTGGTTTGAGAGATTTAAGAAGCTAGTGGCTTCCTTTATGTAAAAAGGATGTGGGGCTGCCAGTTGGGACCCAAAGCGGCTGAAAAATATGTGCGGGAAATTAAAGGGGATAATAGAAACTGAAGGACTAAAACCCTTAAAAAAGTTTTTAATTGGGGAAAAAACAGGCCTGTTCTGGAGAAAAATGCCAAGCAGGACCTACATTACTAAAGGGGGAAAAAGGGGAAAACCCCCAGGACATAACCCTATAAAGGGGCAGGCTTACTTTTTTGATGTTTGAAAATGCTACTGGTGTTGGCAAAGGGGAAGCCTTTTTTAGTGTATCACTCGGGAAACCCCCAGAGGTTCAGGCAAAAAAAAAGTCCTAAAGGATAATTTGTGGGTGCTGTGGAGGGAAAAACAGAAAAGGGCATGGGTCACTGGGGAAATTTTTTTCTATAACGGGTTACACCATGCTTTTGCCCCAATGTGAAAGATTCCCAAAAACTAAAAAGAAATTAAATTTAAAGTGCCTCCGGGTGTTAACAATGCCCCGGGTCACCCTACAGACGGGGCCAGGGGGCGAACCTTTAGGGGGACTTGAGCTTCATAAGGGTGAAGTTTTTGCCCCCTTAATACCACCCCCCCCTGCGGCCCTGCCCAGCGGTTTTTTCCCAAATTTCCCAAGAAATGTACACAAAACCCTCTGTTTGGGAAAGGGTGTTTGTAATGACCTCAGAAACTCAACTGACTCTAAAGAGTTTTGGGGAGTTTCCATTTTTAATATCCTAAATTTTTGAAAACCTTAAGGAAAGGGGTTTTGGGAGGAAGTGACTAAAGGCCCTTAAACCGGGCTTGGAAGAAACTGGGGCCCAAAGAATTTGTAGCAAAAGGGATTTTAAAGGGTTTTGGAGGCAAACCCCAAAATGATTATCCGGTTGAGGAATCCTTTGGGTGGCATTGGGAAAGTCCTTGGGGTTGGAGGTTAGTGGGGGGGATGGGAAGATTTGGTGGAGGGGGACAAGAAGAACAACCACTGATACTGAAAGATAAAAAAAATTTTCAAGAGAAAGGGGGCCAAACCCCTGGGGAAATGGTTCAGAGGAGGGGACAGAGAAATTGAAGAAGTTGCCTACTACAAAAGAAAAAGGGAAAATTCTTGCTAAGGGGCTTGAAGTGAAAACCCTTTTCATGGATAAAAATTTCCCTCACACAGCATTGCAACCGTGTTTGGTGTTTAAATTACCTGACAATGTTGTGAAACATTTTAAGGAAAGTCAAAAAAGGGAAAGAGAGGTACGGGCCCCACTAGGGACAGTTTTGTTGTGCGAAAAAAGTCCAGGGGACTCTGAAGGGGCCCTTTTGTGGCATTAAAAAAAAAAGGGAAAAACCCCCAGAAAAGGGGACTTACTCCCTCAAGCCCTTAAGGGAAAGGGGGAAATTCCCCTTCTAAACACTAACACTCTCTCCCCCCTCCTCCCATCCCATCAATCCCACCAATCTTCAAAAAAAGTAAGTTTTCTTTTAATTGGCGGCCTTTTTCGGGTTTGGGGTATTAAAATTAACATTTCATGGGGGAAAAAAAAAATTTTTTCAAAACTTTTGGGGTCTTGCACGGTTTTAATTTTTTTTCCATTTTTTTTTTTGGGGGGAAAATTTCTTTGGGATAACGTTTATTTGTTTAAACGAGGGCCCCCTTTTTGCACGGTTTAAAAAACTTTAAACCCGGGGGGCCCACGGTAAAATATTATTATTTTATTTAAAATTATATATATATATATATATATATATTTTTTAAATATATAAATATATAAAATATAAATATATATATATTTTAAAATTGAATTTGCATGTCTGTGAAGTGTGACCAAAAGTGTAATTTGGAGTATTTAAGATATCCCTGTTTTCTAGCGTGTTTTATGAGACAGAAAAAGCACCAGCAATCCTACCATCATGTAAAACATTTCAGGTTTATTTTTCACAGTAAACGGGAGGAATAGTACATGGGGCCCCCAAGGGTTTTTTACGGCCCCTTTTTTCGCCTTTTAAGGGGCCCCCAAATTCCCCCCCTAATTTTAATTTGGCAAAAATTTTCCAAAATTTCTGAAAAAATTTTTTGCCCTTTATACGGCCAAAAAAGGCGGTTTTTCCTTTCCCAAATATTAGCCCCAAAACCCAAAAAAACCCGGGTTTGTTTACAATTTTTTTTCCCATTTAAAACCTAAAATTTTTAATGTAAAAGGAATTTTCCCAAAATTTAAAAAAA